CACAGTAATTGTAACAAGATGTTAGACACCTTCTTGTAAATAAGATTTAGACATTGCCTTGTGATTTGTTGCTTGGCAAATCACAGCCTAACTTCAGTGGCCGAAGGCTGACTGAACAAACGATAGAGAAACATAGACAATTGAGAACAAGATCTGCCTTCCAGTAGATAAGAGGTGGAAAACAGAAACTGTTGGAGGAGGTTAATTTCTTTTCCTTTCTCCATCAGATTTATTTTATTTAAAAAAATGTCCCATAGTTTAGTATCAACATTTCTATTTTTTATTCTGTTTGTTTATTTTAGGAGGTCTCAAGTATATTCTATTTTTTTTTAATCGTTGTACTGGGAGTACATTGTGGCATTTACAAAAGTTCTTACAATATATCATAGTTGAATTCACCTGGAGGAGGTTAATTGAAACAAACAATTAAAATCTAGGTTGTTCTTTGAGGCTGGGTAAAGGAAGGTATATGATGTGATCTGGAGCATATAGGATTGGTCCTAGGCATATTGCTCATCCTCCTTCATTAAGGAAAGGATGTGCTGATGGGCACAGGTAGATGCCTTAGAGGACACATAGCATTCCTACAGCTCGAGCAAACATAACACCTCTTAAGTCAACATGTCTCTTATGACTACTGGCAAGTGGGAAAATCTTTCCAAAGAAGATATCTGGTAATTCCCCTGCTGGGCCTTTTTGTTTGTTTGTTTGTTTGTTTGTTTGTAAAGTAGAACTTCTTATAACAGTACGAATCACAGATGCTTTACCAACCTACATTAGTCTGGGATGCCATTTAAGTACAAAGGTCAAATTCTGCTTCTTATTTTAAACAGTCCAATGACTAGTAAAAGACATTAACCAAGAACATTTGAAAAAACAAAGCTGAACCAAATATCAAGATATATTTTATATTTTAAAAAGAATTTAATTACAACCTATAGTTGAGCCTCACCTTAAGTACATTCTGTTAACACTCTACCACATTCATAGGGCAAGTTCTAGAAATGCAATAAATCCATTTTATAAAACAATATAGAGTAAGGTGTTTTAGCTGGTATTCTTTGATCTTTTCAAAATATTTTCTTTTATATTTTATTGTCAGGTATCCAATAGAGCAAAGGAAAGATTTCTTTCTGTTAGTGTCTTAGGATTTAAAGCAATTAGAATGCAAATAACTTGGCAGGACTCCCCACACTTCTAGGAGCAACCCCTAGAAGCTGTCTAGCTCAGGTTTGGTCCTCCATTGCCAGATAAATCAAAGCACTTCTCCAGTAATTCCATATCAGCACATATACAACAAGTAACTTAAAAAACAATAGAAACATTTTTAATAGTTCTTTGGGGAAAAGTTTTGAAAAGTTATATCACTTCTAAGTTTCAGAAAGCTGAAAATAATTTCAGTCGACAATTATTCCTTTCCATTTCACTTTGCCTGTGAAAAACAAAAAAGTCAAACAGTATTTATTAAGCTTTTACTATCCTGGAAGTGAGGGGGATAGGAGGTAGAGGGAAGGGTAAGGGGTATGGGGGAGAGATGGCCCAAACAATGTATGCACATATGAATAAATGAATAAACAAACCAAAAAAAAAACTTTTACTATAAGCTAAGCACTATTCCTAGCTCCTTGTTTGCATAATAACTTATAAATTTAATTTAATTTCCAAAGTAACTTATAAAGTAGATTCTTTTAAAAAATTCCTATTTACAGATAGGGTAACTGAGGCAGGGCAGCTAAGTTGTTTAGGGTTCCGTAACCAATGAACAGTGGATCTTAAGCTTGAATCAAGCAGGCTCCCTCAAAGATGGCATCACAACCATTTCACAAACAGCAGAAAGCTGAGCTGTTAAAAACACTTTCAGATATTGTATTATCTGCCATGATATTCCACTTTTAGAAAATTAGTTTAAGAAAATGCGCAAAAATATGCCAGTAAGGAAGAGTAAGGGAAGACCAGAATTTTAAAAAAATTGAACTGCACTAGTCTTATAAAATATTATGCAACAATTTAAAGTAGTTACACAAGTCTGTATTTGATGTATGTTGAGGACCCCAGCATTTTACTAAACGAATAAAGGCTACAAAGAGTTATGTATGGTTTTATTCTTTTTTTTTTGCAGTATGGAATTTTAACTCAGGGCTTTGCACATGCTAAACAAGTGCCTTACTGCTCGAGCCACTCTTCCCAGCCCTTTCACTCTTATTATTTTTGAGATAGGGTCTCACTGCTTTGCCCAGGTTGGCCTGGACTGCAATCCCCCTATTTTAAGCTCCCTACTGTAGCTGGGAGAACAGGTACATGGCACCATGCTCAGCTTTTATTGGTTGAAGTGGGGTCTCAAGAATTTTTTGCCTGCGTTGGCCTTGGACTGCATCCTTCCCAATCTCAGCCACCTGAGTAACTGGAACTAATATACCTACTAGTTGTAAATATGTACATGTAGGGATTATAATATTGTTAAATCTTTATTAACAATTATCAGTCAGCAAGCCACAAAATTCATATGTATTAACTCATCTGAATCTCAAAACACCCTGGATGACAGTACGATTTTATATTCCCATTTCATAGGTGAGGGAAAAAAAAGATGCTTCCACAGTGAAAGATTGACTAACTTGCCCAACACATGAAGAAAGCAATGCCTTTAGAGTGCTCACAGTAATGTTACTATCATTACCTCAGGATGCTGGGATTTTTGATGGACATAGTTCCTCTATTTTACATTTTTCCCAAACAAATATGAATTATTTTTCAGCAAGGTAGTTTTATTTTTAGGAAAAAAAAGCTTCTTGTCCAATTTGCTTATTCTATAAGATAACACAAAAAACTTATTAATACCGGGTTATCCCTATAAAGAGAGAACTAAATAAAATCAACTATTTCCTCTTGAAAGTGGCACTTTGTATAGAGGTTAAAGGAGAAGTATAATGAGTTTACCAGAGAGTTTTTATTACAACTGAATAACTGCAACCTTTCTCAAATTGTAGTCAATGTGGAAACGGCTCTTTTCATCACATTCAGAGTAATAGAGAAGTCACTGGCAACTGAAATCAGATGAAGCATTGTAAAGGAGTGGTATTTCCCAACTTGTAAGCAATTGTCAGTAGACATTCCTCAAAGTGTTTTAAAGGCATAGTTCATCCTTCAAGTTCTGTGCAGTTAGGAACAGAGATACTTAAAACTGTAGAAATAGACTTAATGAAGACTCAGCTCTACAGTTCTGAGTAGTCACAGACTGTGACACTAAGCATTTGCTATAGCTGTAGGAAATCCCTGGACATGGAAGGGATCATTCAGAACAACAAAGGTTGACACTGAATCTGAAATGGATTTGGATAACCAGCTTGGATACAGGATACAGAGTGCACATTTGCACAGGCCCACAGTCAACACGCTCAGCAAACAGCCTCAAGAATTCTTTTTAAAGGATACAGGAAGTTAATGATAGAATTTCTGTTTTTAATATTCCCCATAGAATGGATTTTTAAGACTATAATAAGCAAAAGATGGATCTAGGGTAAAATTCTTGTTGTGTACTTGAGATTCACTCAACCAAGTGAGTGCCTTCTCATTTTCTTATTTTAATATGAAATACTGAGCTAAAGAATTCTATCAGTTATCATTGCAACTGTATATTTTACTATATGTTCCCTTATAGGTCATTTTAACCAAGATTCTGATACTCCAAGTGTGGTAGCTTGGTAAGCAGTAAACCTTCTAGAATGGGACCTGGTCAAAGTTGATGCATGGGTAGCTTTGTTATCAATCATAACAGTACATTTTCAGGGGGTGGTTGTTTTAGTGGCTCACAAAAAGACAAGACATTCCCGAATCTCAAAAAAATGTATAATTGCATTAGAATGATAATTGTGAGAGCTATGTATCACAAACTTACATCTATATAGAATTATAACATTATTTCAAGAATTTCACCATCTGGTTTTTGGGTTTTTTTGCAATAGTTTACCATAAAGATATTTTCTTCTTAACTTCTCTACCCTTTTTAAAACCCAACTTTTACAAATAACTATAAATCAGGGAAATTGGCCTGAGTAACATGGAAAATTATTCTGAACAATGCATAATATCATGGAAAGCTACCAAATAGCTGTGAAAATGCCAAAAGGAAGTCATTTCATTCTAAATGTGAATTAAGAGGATGTTAGCTCACAATGTCCAATCAAGACATGTTATACTAGGACTCCCAAGAGATTACCTTTTAAATACAGCTAAGGTCACAGAAACTAATGATTTTATCATCATTGGATCACTTCCCAGTTGACAGAATACAAGCTTCTTTTACAAACTGAATTTCCCTATTTCCTACCAGGTAGGTCAAAGACCACAGGCAGCGTGGGCATGTTCCAAGTTAAGCTACAATTTCTTCTATGTGTCTCTTGCACTAGATTTATTCCCTAAGAAAGATGCTCAATTAAGAACAGCAAATCACATCCAATACAGTATTGGCAGAAAGATTTCTTAACAACTTACGGTTACCCTGTAGTCTTTTCTCCAGCATGTTATCAGGATGGGGGGACAGCAGACAGGAAGACTCAGTCTTCATCACTGTCTTTACCTGTGTTGTGTCTTCTTTTTACTTCATTCTCCTTCATCCATTGCAACTCAGGGTGCAGTCTACAGACCAGCAGTGTGGACGCCTAGCACCTTTTAAAAACTCAGAATCTTGACCCCATTCAAATCTACATTTATTTGAAAAAACTCTCAGGTGATTCATATGGAGATCAAAGTATACAGAATATCCTCCTGAAGAGATGTTTTGTTTTCCTGACAATTACAGGAACTTGGGACATCAATCCTTTTTGATATTTTCATTCCTTCATCTTTAAATCATTCAAGAAATTCACAATTTAGAATCAGTTGTCTTCCTCCACACCAAAATAAAAAATATCAGGCATCATCTGTTTAATGTTTGAAAGTTTACAAAATGCCTTTGTAATCTTTGTACTTGATGCTCACAGCATGCTTGAGAGGTAGACGTGTGTTATAAATATAGATTAGGATATTGTGAGTGATGGGGTTCACAACATGTCCCAAATCACATACAACTAGTTTTCTGAATCCACGTTTAGTGGTTCTTCTACTACTGTGCTGTGATGATTGGACAGGCAATCTGAAAACAGAATGTCAGGAGAGGAGACTAAATGCAGGACATAGAATAGATTTGGAAAATATAAAATAAAAGTTTGTAATCACCTTACTCAAAACTCCATTTTTCTGATGACAAAGATGTACAAACCTATTAGATCTTCTTAAAGATCTTCAGCCTCTTCCTGATTCAGAACTAAATATAACCATGAGCAAGGGAAGATAGGAAAACAAACTGTCTCCATGCTAGCAAACCTCCCAAGCACATCAGCAGGAACCAGCTGAGAGGCATAGTCAAGCTGGAGCCTTACCACAGATTCTAAGTAATGTTGGGCTCCCTTTCCCACCTGGTCTACATGCTTCACATCAGTCAATCAAATATGATGTGATATGATATGATTTGGCTGCATTTTCTGGCCATATCTCCTTCTAGGCAAAAGTCATATTTGCTTTATGCAGATTTCTGCACTTACTCAATTTTCTCTCAAACTTACTGATGACTCTTCAACAACAGGAAATATTCAGTTTCACTTTTTGGAATTTTCTCATTGGGAAAAGACAGACAAGTTTTTTTGAAAAGAGTTTCTTTACCAAAGCCATTGTCAGCCATCTGCAGGTTCTGAAGTACATGTTCCATTAAATATGGAACAGTATGTATCTCACACGGAAACGTCAAATGCTTACCTGTAGGCCAGAGCCTCTGGACACTGAAGTTCTAGTCCAAAGTATATTCAAGTCTTTGGGAAAGCATAAATAAAGGACAAGAGTCAGAACAACTTTGTAAAAAAATCACATTTCACCACTAAATCTCTATGCACTGTCTTTTCCAAGATTTTCAAGATAAAAGGTGATTTGGTAATTTAGGAAGTTACTGAGTATATTTGGGAATGCAAACCTGGATATAATTTTCAAAATGCTTTCTTCAATATTTGAGCAGAAGGAGATCACATGAAAGCTGTGGTAAAGCTTCTCAACCACACCGTGAGCATCCTTTCTGAAAGTAAGGGGATGTGTTCAAAGTACGGAAGAGTGGCTCCACAGCGGCCTGCTGAGCGTGGTGGGATTTCCAGATGTAGATGTGCGCCACGCCCTTCGGGTTGGACTTGGGAGACAGCCCTCAACTAGAGATGGAGAAGACAGCCCTGCTTTAAATCCAGCAGGACTAAGAATGGACAATTCTTCCAGTTATGAAGTAAACACTTCCCTAGATAAATTTCAGAGAGACAAGAGTGTCCACAAAGTTAAAGTGAACTTTGGCTTAATTAAAAACTGGCTGCATCCAGGATTTCCTAAATAATATTAAAATTAAGCATGTTCTTTACCTTAGTCATGTTTTCACATTTTAGAAATTTGTCCTATACCTTTCTAAAATATTTTCTTTATTCCTTTTATCTGGAATGTGAACTTGGTGGTGAGCCAATTGGTTGCACAGGGATGAGAGGAGTTGGGAGAGGAAGGGAGCTGGCAGGAAGAGAGAGTGACTTCCAGGGAGGAAGGCTACCCTATGGTTTAGATCAGAACAGCAGAGCCAGCCAATCCTCTGTCATGGTTATGTCACTGTTACTGCAGCTGCAAATCTACATTCCATGTAAGATGCCCACATAGAATTCTGCATCCTTCCTCAGATTCTAAGTCAAATAATCTGTTGTATTTTAAGTTCAAATTGTTCTTTTTTTTACAGCCTTTTGTTCTCCCTGGAGTTCTGTAGTCAATTCCTGGATGTGGACTAACAGAATACACATTGAATGAGAGATACTTCCAACACAGCCATAGAGTGACTTTATAAGTGCTATAAGTATGTTTTAAGGTAACATACTAGGTTAGATTAAGCTTCATCATGTTGCAGGCAGCTCTTTAATAAGGGAAAATTATTTTTCCCAAAGCAGATTGAGAAGAATAAACTCAGGCAAGTATTTGAAACATGACTTCCATGTTTCACATGACAGTAGAATACAGAGAATTCTGAAACACAGAATTAACTAAGACTTTTTAAAAACTCAAACATTTGCAGAAAGCTCTGGAGGAGTCAAGGGAAATGCTTTTATTTTAACAGTTCCAAGAAGATTTTTAACTTAATTAAGAACTCTGAGAATCTTTCCTTTATTCATAACTTGGAAGTAAAATTGTGTCATATTCCTCAGAATGTGATGATTCCTGAGCTCTTGAGATAGCATAGGTTAGGTGCTTATTATTACTGAGGGTATTTCATGTAGTAATCTATCCAATTATGAGGAAGCTGAGGCACAAAGCAATTAAACAATTGCCCAAAGTCCTACAGCCTAAAAAGCTGAAGAGACAGGCTATCAAAGGTGACTCTATAACTTCTAGTCTAGAAGACAAAATAAACTTCTACAAGATATAAGTCAGGAACTAGTTAGATTTCATAAGCAGAGCTCCAAAGATAGGATCACAGCTAGAGAAAACAGGAATGTCAAGCTCTCTTCTCTCAAAACCCAGCCATTCCTTCCCCAGACTCTGAGGCTATACTTTGCCTCAGAGCAAATTATCTGTGTTATTCTGTCTGCAGTCTGTGAGTCACATGTTGGTGAAGAAAGTTTCTTCTTTACCTCAAGTCTTAATAACTATAACTAGAAACATTTGCATATAAAAAGACAGTGTGACATCTATTTTCTCACTTCCTGTTAAGGCAAGGAAAAAGAGATGATAGAACTGGAGAATATCCTGGTTGCCCATTGTACCAACCATATTTTGTGTCAATACATGGGCTTGGCAACTTTTATGCAACCAAGTTACAGTGGTTTCCAGGCTGAACATCCATCAGACTGCTTAAAATACTATACACTGTCACCAAACAAGGGTGCCTCTGTTCATGGCTGCTGTCTCAGCAGTTCTTTCAGAACAGCCGGGAAATGGAGGGATGTGGGAAATTGGCTGCCAACAAATTCACTGCTGTCAGCGCCCACCAGGACACTGGATGGGACCCAGCTGACTTCAAGCTATACTAGAATTGACTACATTTGTCCCAGAGAAACTGCGGCACAAAAGGAGTAGCTAGGGAGATCTGGGCTGAATGCAGAGTTACCACACTTTCTCCTAACCGTATGCTTAGATATTCATTCACAGGCACTGAAATTTGCACGGCCTTCCCAAATCCAGGGATATTTCTTTAAATGTTAACCTGTTTCATACATATATTCATACATATATTATGGTTATCTTTTATGGCCCAGGGTTGTCACCAGAAGATTTCTTTGAGCCCTAGCAAGAATAATATCATTATGTAATCTTATGACTGGAAGGGAATTATGGGTTATCTCACTTATGATAGTCTTTAGTGGTTTTCATCAACTTTTTGGAAGTTGTGCCTTTCTGAGCATACAGTCAGTGCCTCTAGTGGGAATATGTGACTATTTCTTGCCACTGAGTTTTGAGTAGAAGTAATCTATGATGCTCCCAGGTTGTGCATTAAATTGTTGCATATGAGACCCTCCACAATTCTTGTTGCTCTGGAACAGCAACGAATAACATTTGACATGTTGGCTCTACTTTATTGAACTTGGATCCTTGAGGGACTGAAATGAATAAATACCCAGCCAACTCTTAGTGAAATATGTCTTCAGTGAGAAATATCTTTCAGTATTTTAAGCCATTATGTGCTGTGGGAGGTTATTTGGTATCACAGCATAACCCATACCAACTCAATGGATACAGAAATTTTTATGTACGAATAGAGTTCTGGACCAAACAATGAAATATATAGCTTTGGCTTAGGAACAAAGTAGTGGCTAGTAAAGAAATTGCTAGTTGGGGACTGTATTTTCCAGTGGCAAGACATTCAGTAATCCTTACCTGAAGTGAGTTGGAAGCATATGGTATACTCAAGGAATTCAAAGTCTTAAGAAGAGACTTGAAATTGAGTACTAATAGGAAATGATAGTTCCTTTGGGGCAACATTTGACAAGGTACTGAGTGACTATCCAGATCTAAGATCTGCCAATCTATAATGGACATGTGTAAATCTTTGTTCTCATACAATTGAAATTTGGGGCACTTTGTTACCAGAGCAAAACCAAGCCTATTCTGACTAAAATGTAGTTCAATTAACCTCAGTGTACAGATTAAAAAGTTGAAAGAGACTTAGTACTTTTTCCACTGTGTCAACATTATTAAAGGCAGAGTTAACACATCCAATCTGTTTGTGTCACCATGGATTAGTGTGTGCCCTCTTTTAGGCACCAAGCAGGACACTTCCTGCATAGCAAGGACTTTCTCCTTTAAGTCCTGTCAAAATGCAAATATGTAGTAAATGCCATTTGACTCATAAAGTCTGTCTTGAGAATAGACAGGATTTACTCACAAAAACAAGAACAGGAAGTTATAGTCTAATATTCTAGTTTAAGGAGAAGGAAGATGAAACAGAACTCCCTATGAAATACAGGAAATACACCCTTACCATTTCTTCAGAAATGAACATCCGAAAGTGGCAGAGCAGAAATCTGAACTGTTTGCGTGACTCCCAAAATCAACACTGAAAGGTGGACTCTTGATACGCAGGGAAGAAGGAAACAGCAAAAAATAGAATGTAAACCTTATACTTGCCAAGCTGCATCACAGACTCTGTTGGGTGTTGGCAAAGAACTTGTGTCTCTATGTGTTTTCATGTCTTGCCTTCTATTGAGTAAAGTCACAACAGAAGCTTGAGGTCAAATGAGAAGGAATGTTTGAAATAGCTTGACCTGTCCTGATTTATGGGTTGGAATAATGGAAGTCCTTCATAACATGAAAGGAATTTGGGGGAGGATGTCTCCTAGGTTTTCACACAAAATGTACATATAGTCTCATGGGAATGCCTAGCAGGGCCTCATCATTCCAGGGGCAGAGGAATTGCTCATCTGTCTAGAAGCAGAATAGCGAGCTACTTAATCCAAATGTGTCTTTGATGGAACCAGGAAAATTATTGAAAATAAAATTCTCAGAAGATATTTTTCAGATTTTCGTTTTCCTCTCCAAATGGGAAGCAGGCACACACTCCTTGAGAGTTACAGTAATAAGTGGGATCAAAAATACACTCAAAATTGATTTAAAGAAAAATGCTGGGCATTGGTAGCTTATTCTGTAATCCTAGCTACTTAGGAGGCTAAGATTCAGATGATCCATGTTCAAGGCCAGTCTGGGCAAATAGAGAGACCCCATGACCAAAATAATCAGAGCAAAGTAGACTGGAAGCATGGCTCAAGTGGTAGAGCACCTGCTTTGCAAGTATGAATTCCTGAGTTCAAACCCCAATCCTACCCAAAAAAAAAAAAAGTAGAGGAAAAAAAGCCAAGGATGAAATAATTACAAATTTTAAAATTCTCCATCTCTTACCAATTTCCTTCCAACCACATGTTAAAAACAAACAAACACCTGTGAATATCAATACAATACCCAGCCAAGACTAAAGCTGGCTCCTCCCTTTCTGCATTGGCCAGGCCTCATCTCCCTGTCTCTTTAGCTTCTTCTACCATGTCTCCCTCCCCTCAAGAACATTTCTACATCTTATTCTTTAAATTTTTTCCTCCTGTGGAAATTAAGCATAATATCTGTGTTTTTCCCAAGGCATCTGTAAGTATTTGAGATTTGTTCTTTTCTTTGATTGTAAATATGCCAGGATAGACACATCACTTTCCAAACAAAAATATTTAATTTAAAAATAAATAGCATGTTTTGTGTTTTTAAGCAGGGAAACTTTCCTTTTGTTAGGATTTCCCTAAAATTCTGGATAGATTCACCAATGACATAACCCTGAACTGATTTCAAATCATCAAAATGTGGAAATGAAGAGTGCTGTGGACATTTTTACTTTTCCCTGCCACTGTTTCTATTCAGTCACCCCAAGTGAAATAATGACCCTGCACTGACTTTTTCCCAATTACCACTGTTCTCCTTTAGGTAGAATTAAAGAAAATTTATGAGAAAATCCAAACAAATGCTGGTTTCCCCTACACAAGAATTTACCAAGATAAGAATGATTGGATTAATTTTAATTTGTTATCCAAGGCGATTTGAAT